TCACGAAATTCATAACCGAAGCCAAGGCTGACATAACGGTGTCTATCGAGCAATTAAATGAGACATACCCTCAGCTGCCGGTGTGGTCGTCGGCACTGTCCACCACATTCATCATATCTGTTGTGCCATATATGATCCTATTTCTGATCCCGCTCAACGCCAATACCCCGCAATATGTGTCGCATCTGAGGATATGCTTAGGTTTGGCCGCCGGAGGACTTCTTGGCGACGCTTTCCTGCATCTGATCCCCGAATCTCTGAACGCCAACAACAGCGCCGATCACCTCAGTGTCGGTCTCTGGATATTAGGAGGATTTCTGGGATTTTTTATCATTGAGAAAATTGTACGACTCGTCAAAAACTATAGCATTTCTGCGAGGAGTTCTCGTAAAGAAGTGGCAGTCAATGGAAATCATAATAACAATCAGATTTGCAATAATAAGAGTGCTTTCACTAATGAATGTCCAGTGATTTGCGACAAAATGCAAACAAAGCAGGATTTAAAAGAAAATCCTGTTTTGGATAATTACAAAGACATTGATATCTCTGGTTATCTGAATCTTGTGGCGGATTTAGTGCACAATTTCACGGATGGATTAGCGATAGGCAGCTCCTTCATGGCCGGTCATAACGTGGGTTTAGTGACAGGCATTGCGATTATGGTTCACGAGATTCCGCACGAGATCGGAGACTATGCGGTACTCATAAAATCGGGCTGTTCTCAGGTAATTTAATAAAAGGACCCAGTTAAGACGAGACTTAGTATAGTATACTGGGTTAGAAATATTTAGTCCTTTTTGAACACTTATGTAATATTTTTCTCAGAAGCGGGCCATGAGTTTGCAACTGTTGACAGCTATCGGTGCCCTCACCGGCACTGTGGTCAGCCTCGCACTGGGAAATACAGGCGATATGAGTGGCAGTTGGGTATTGCCCTTCACTGGTGGTGGTTTCGTGTACATCGGCACCGTTACTATACTGCCTGAGCTCACACAACAAACCGATTTAATACAAACTTTTAAAGAATTGTTTGCCCTTTTGTTCGGTATATTTATTATGGTTTTAATTGTTTAATCGGATTTAATTTATTGTAAAAAAATTTTATGCTAACAATATGTGTTATGTTTATTTCATCGATAATTTTAGTTTAGTCTACACTTGAGAGCAATATTCTTGATATGACATGTAAATTATATGTAAATTAAAAATGAAATGTTTTTATGTAATGAAATTAATATTAAAATGTTTTGATTTTTATTTACAATTTTTTTTATTTATATTTGATAAATTAAATGTTGCTAACTTGATGTCATTAAATGTGATAACTATTTATATTATTGATTTCTGTTTAGATCTGTTTCATAATACATCTATGATTGCATTTATCAGTATTATTAATATTAACTTAAAGTAAATTATTGAGTGTATTATAAATATAATTAATAAGTAATAAAAATGAATGCAATATTACTATCGTATAACGTTTGCACCCTTTATATTAAACTTACTGTTAGGAAGTGATTGATATTTATTTGATAAAAGCATTTTCAAATCAAAGCAAATAATTCTCATAAAACCTATACTAATGTATATTTTTATCTAACCTATCTTATCAATTGTAATATTTCACTTGGGATTTTCATTAATATTTAGCTTTCTTATGTAGCCAAAAAATATTGTCTATGAAAAATATTTTTAATTTTAAAAAATATTCATATTGCTTTTGAACTAACTTTTAATTTCTATTCTAGTAAAAATATTAACAATTTAAATTTTTTATACTATTAATGTTTTTCATTATAAAATTTATTTATTAAATCAAAGTATATTTTGTTGAAATCCAGGACATAAGTCAATAGATTATCAATTATTTAATCAATTGATTGATTTTTATGACAGAATAGAATTTTATTTCATATTAATCCCAATAATATTATCATTTCATTAAATAAAAATGAAAGCTTTTCATTAATAACTTATATATTAATATGTCTTAACTTAATAGAAACACATCTAAAGAAGCGATTATATTAACGGCAAATATGACAATCAAACTGTTGTGTTGTATACGAAATGAATGAAAAAATACTTATGTTATAAAAAGGCAAATTTAAGTGACAACTGAATGGATTCCTACAAAAATAGTTTGTATTTCATGTAAAGAATAATATATATATATATATATAATATTGTGTCAAACAAGCAATCAATTGGTGAATGCCTTTTGCAAAACGTTGTGCGCATTCAGTGGTTGAGACCATAAGACTTGTAAATGAAGTTTTGTTTGTTATGTTTTCGAGTTTAAGTAATACCTCTTTGGCTCTCAGAGTCTCACTGTTATAACAAAGCTGTGGCACTCGATGTCAGTCATGATATTGAAACTAATATCACAGCAGTTTTGCTGAAGAATCTCATAACCAGTTATTCTGTGGCTTTCATATCATTTAACAGCATCTCTGGATGTGTCAGCCCTTCAAACGGACGGCTATTATATGATTGCGAAACGCGTTGAGAGAGAAGATTACAGATTCTTGTGTTAAGATTTGCTAAAATGTAAGTATAATTGTTTAGTACTTTACAAAGGCTTTAATTAAATAGCTCTCCTTGATTGACAGCACCTATAGCATGAATAGCACCTATATTGCATTTTTTATTCTTGAGTATTTTCTTATAAGTATTTTATATCACACTTAACTAATACAGCAAGTGATACAATTTATAAATTTGCAAATGAGATAACATATTAGCAATAATATACTGTAGTGTATCACATAATGCTGGTAGATATAATTCCGCTCCATTAGCTAATGGTTGCCAACAAATGTCATTAAATGATAAATTCAAGCATTAAGTCAATAATGCAATCATTCAATCATCAAATCAAATGAATTGATATATTAATAACGATTTATTGTTTCTATTTTTATCATCCAATTCCGGGAAAAGGCCCAGAATTCTGTGAAATAAATTATTAAACAATATTTCATTTATAAATCAAAGACTCGTTTGTAATAAGTTTCTTAAAATTTAATAATGATTTTGATTTGAACAAAATTAAAACCATTACCAGATTGACGATTATTTGCGATAATAACAGTATATTAGATACGCATCTTTTACCCCAATTTGTTTCGCATATATTATGTCATAATATGTTTTGATATAAATCACCAGAAAATGGGATCCATTTGAAGACATTTAAGACCTGAAATAAAGGAGAATTATCGCAAGATTTATGATTTACTATATTGTTGTCTGTTTGCGATAAACAAGTTATGCGATTATATATGAAATGTTTTTTGA